GAGGGGAGAGTAGGCTTGTGCTGAGTCTATGGAGTCAAGGAAACTCCTCAGATAGTCATGGGGGAGTTGCTCTTAACTTGGGGAATGCTGTAGCCAAGCTCAAGCAGGTCACCTGTAAGAAATGGGTCTCTGAAGTTTGCCAGGTTGCCATCTCAAACTTAATTCATGATTTCACCAGGCAGTGAAAGCACAATAAGACTTCAGGATTTGAGTGTCAGAGTGACCTTGTGATCCTCCTCTAGGTGGTCTGTGGGGGTGCAGGGTGATGAAGGGTGTCTCCTGGGCCTGGAGGGATGCAAGGGGGCAGGCACTCTGATGACAAGAGAGTTTTGCCAGTAACTGCTGTTCTTGGATATACAGTGTCCATATACATCTCTAAAGCCTGTCTTCCTTCCCCTCTTCTTGGTGGCCTTTTAACCTCTTAGATTCAGTTGTTGGATAGGATAACTGCATGAAAGATGGAAGTGAGGAATGAATGCGTGCACAGCTTATCTCAAAGGAGTTACTAAGAGCTGGTTTTCATACATAGTCTCTAGAGAAATTTTCCTGCCTGCTATGGATCTCCACATGTCTGAAGGTTTGTGCTAGTTAGTATGTAGGGCATGGTTTTGTTAGGGTTTTTTGTGTCTGTTTTGTTTTAGTTTAAGGGTCATTTACAGCTTACAGTAATATTAAGCTTTACTGTATCACATCTGTTCTGGACTCAGAAGCCTGGTGAACACTGGGAAGAGCACCTTAGGGCTGTTGTCCTGTAAACACAGGCTGGTAAGTCTTCACTAGTGTTTTCTGATGGTTAGATAAAGGACAGCAAAATGATGGCGTGACATCCTCCTTCACACTCTGCTGAGCCTGCAGATGAGAGTAAAGATGTACTGTTGTTTCCTTTAGTGGTTGCAAGGACTCTTATTAATTCTGCATTAGGATGAGCTATTCAGATTTACTTACTGCAGCTCTTCTGCTCCCCTCCTCCCTTTCTTTAATTTAGTTCTGCTGGATCATGGTTTTAGCCATTCTGCTAAATTCTGGAGTTAGATACAGTACTTTTCAGAGGATGTTCAGCTCTCCAACATGAGGGCCAGTATCTCCAGTGTTAAACTAGTCCATATCTGGTGTTTTTCTCCTGAGAAAGGAGGTTTGTGAAGTGGATGCTGCACCAGCTATTGCAGACAGAGGACTTGCTTGCAGTTGTTGGAAAAGCTGGTCACCCGTGGGAAGTCTGTTTTGGCATTGAGGAAGTACTGCTGAGGTTCTGCTCATGATATGACTATTTACCTGTTTTGTTAAGGTATGTAGAAAGACAACAGATCTATAGTAGTATGTTTCTCTTCTGGAGAAATGCAGTCTAACAGAGAGAACGGCACAGAAGTTACACTCAGACTGCATTAGGTTTGAAATCAGTTCACAGAGGAGCAGGAGTGCAAGGTGAACAAGTATTGGTGACTTATCTTCATTTTTTGTGGTATTTTTGCTTCACAGAAGAGGGGAATACTGCAACAGTGATATTAAATGCAAAGCCATCTGAAAAAATCTTCACTATAAGGGCACTGAGGCCCTGGCAGAGGTTGCCCAGAGAAGCTGTGGCTGCCCCATCTCTGGCAGTGTTCAAGGCCAGGTTGGATGGGACTTGGAGCAATCTGTTCCAGTGGAAGGTGTCCCTGCCTGTGTCAGGGGGTTGGAACTGGATGAGCTTTAAAGTCCCTTCCTGCCCGAACCAGTCTAGGATGCTATGATGGCGTTTAGCTGATGCAAAGTTACATGGCCACTGGGTGGGAGCATTCTCCTTCCAAGCCATTATGTTTCTCTTCAGAGAAAGAGAGGGGCAGAACCTCCTGGAGATCGCTTCAGTCCTGTTGTGTGGGTGCACCTCCTGTCTGGTGCTCATGTCCTCCAACCAGTGTTGACCATTATCAGATCTCACAAACTCCTCTTGCTGCCTTGTGTTATTAATCCGGAGGGCTCCTGGAATTTTGCTGAGTTAAAGCTGCTGTTTTGCCAACTGCTGCAAGGTTTCTGGTGAATGGACGTATTTCTTTAGGGTCTGGGATTGAAAATTGCTAAATTCATGCCACTGAGTGTTTCAGTACAATGTAGCCCTAACTATTTTTGATAAAAGGTTTCAGTGAAATAAACCCAAAGATGTGCGTGGTGCAGCAAATGAAACCTCCAGCTGCTTAAACAGATCAATAAACTGATTTGTGTTTGCTGACCAGAAGAAAAATCTAATTGCAGGTACTCCATAGTCAATGTTTGTGGGGAAACTAGAGTAACTGCAATAATCAGAAATCCAGTTTGCTTTTGTTTGGAGTTTATTCTTCAGGTTTCATTAAACTGGTCTGGTGCAATGCACAGCCCTCTCAAGGCTTGGGCTGGTTACATATTCAAGGTTTCTACATCTTCAGACTGGTAAGCTCTTCATGGATTTCTTCATATTCTAAATTATCTCATTTGGCTTTTTTTAATATGAGTTAAAATGATTGAAGTAATACTGTTCCTGGTGTTCAGAGGTTTGTTCCACCTTCCAGAATCTCCTGCTCTGTGTTGGCCAGCCATTAGTTGACTGAAGTTTGAATGCATCTGAACATCAAAAATAGCTCTGAGGTTGCCCCAGGTTCCAAATCTGTGCAGTTACTAACATCTGCAAGAGGAAATAATGCTTTCCTGCATGTTATGAAGATAGGCTTCCAGGAAAAGTATTGTGTCAGTCCTCAAGTATTTCTCACCTGAGTGCATCTCTTACATCTCCTTGGATTTAGGTAACAAAGAGAGGATGGAGATCCTGCCATGACTGTATCTCCAATGAGTGACAATATTCAGAAAGGTAAAAGAGTTTAGATAGAAGGGAAAAAATACACAGGAAAAACAGTACAATTGGAGTCTTGGGAATCTGTTTTCTCCATTTGAGTGGGACAAAAGCTGTCTCAAGGTGTCACAGTCGTCTCAATTACTGGTAGCAGTAATGAAGATGAAGAAGTCAAGAGTTCTTGAAAAGCTACTAAAGGAGAGTAGAATTGTCACCAGCTTTTATTATCACTTTGAATTAAAGTTGGTAAATTGGGTAGACATTAGCTTGGACATCTCATTAGTGTTATTTCTAGAGCAGAAAATGAGTCCTCTATGAAGGAAATGGACTGGGATGAGCTTTGTCTGCAAGGAGGAGGACAAGGAAAGAAGTGATTGGAAGTTAATGAGGTGTAGACAGGTCATGATGACTTTAATGAGTTTAACTGTGTGAATAGCTGATAACTTAAATGAGTCTCAAAAAAGGCTACAGAAAATTGTGTTTTTAAAGTATTTGAAGGCAAGCCTGGTGAAAGCTGAGGGAAAACCTCTTGTAGCTGGATTTCATTTGGATCTGTCTGTCTGTGGAAGAGAGAATCCAAACGTCATCTGTAACTAGAGATCCAGAGTTTAAAAGGAACATGATGTGTTGACCTGCTGATGAACATACGGAATGACTCTGGTATTATCTGAGATTATGCCAATGAAGACTGAGCCCCACAAGTTGATGCCCTTCACCGTTATTTAACAAAGAAGCCTTACCCAGAAATGTGGTAGGAAGCCAGTAGCTTGAAATGGGATTTTTATCTCCCTGTGGCAGAGGCATATTTTGCTTTTTTTTTTGGATGTATTGCTATCAATACCATAACCAAAGAGCTCAGTTACACCATTTATAACACAGACCAGTATGTTCATTGAAAATTTTAAACGTTATTGTGGTTTTTGCTACATTTGGAAACGGTTTTTGTTATTTTGTTTATCCTCTGTATAAACGAACACTTTAACAAGTCTCTGATCAAAGATTGTCCTGATTCTGTTCTAACAAGCGCCTGTTTTTTCCTTACCATTCATGTCAAGATGCATTTCATCAGCAAAAAAAACTGATTTAAGGCTGGTCATGACAAACTATATGTGAAAGCAGTAGACAGAAAAGCTAGAATTTTAAGAAATCTTTGCGTTAGCTGATTTTATTCTTGACAGGGAGAGGGAAGTGGATTTTGGATGTGGTTTCACAGTGCAGAACTGGTGTCTGATCCGTAGAAGGCTGTGCTTCCTCTCCTGAGCACCCTGGCTCGAAGTATTTCCATCTCTACCCTGAATGCATTCAAGGAACATTTATAGGTTTTTATTCATATACCAGGATTTTCTTTCAGTTCATATCATCTTCACTCTCTTCTCTTGCATAGTTACATCCCATTTTAGCTGAGCATGCCAGGCTGATTTAGTCATTGCTTTAAAAGAAGCACTTCCTGCAACCTGATTATCCTAGCAGGTGGTTACTCGGCTAGAAGTTACTGCTGGAGAGGTGTTTGAGTCTGGGGTTGACCAAGACTGCGTGTGTGTCTGTGCACATCCATGTGTAGGTGTATGTAGGCTTGAGGCACCTGGGAAGACCCCTGAGATCCAGGGTAATCTGAGTGCCCAAACCCAGCTGCTGGAGGCATCCATGCTCCACCTATGTACATGTAGACATTCCCCCTAACTCAGCCTCTCCCCCTAACAGTCTCTTGAAGATAGTGTGTCTCATTCTGAAGACACAACTCATTCTTCTCATCCTGAAGTCATTCATGTGACTTCTTGTCAGGGACTGTAGTGACAGGACAAGGGATGATGGGTTAAAACTTAAAACAGGGAAAGTTCACGTTAGGTATAAGGAAGAAGTTCTCCCCTGTGAGGGTGCTGAGGCCCTGGCACAGGTTGCCCAGAGAAGCTGTGGCTGCCCCATCCCTGGCAGTGTTCAAGGCCAGGTTGGACGGGGCTTGGAGCAACCTGGTCTAGTGGAAGGTGTCCCTGCCCGTGGTGGGGGTTGGAACTGGATGAGCTTTAAGGTCTCTTCCAACCCAAACCAGTTTGGGATTCTCCTTGAACAGATAGTATTGGTCACAACTTGGAAGATTTGAGAATGAAAGACAACAAAAGCACCTTTTGGGCATGGGAAGAATTAATTTATCAGCAAAGCTATGCCGGGATGTTTCATTGTAATAATCTCTTTTGTGTTTCAGCCCTGGCCCAGTGTTTCCAACCTGGCCAAGGATTTCATTGATCGTCTACTCACGGTGGACCCCAGTGACAGGATGACAGCCCTTCAGGCCCTGAAGCACCCATGGGTGGTCAGCATGGCAGCCTCTTCCTCCATGAAGAACCTACACCGTTCCATCTCGCAGAACCTTCTCAAGAGGGCGTCTTCCCGCTGCCAGAGCACCAAGTCCGCCCAGTCCACCCGCTCCAGCCGCTCCACCAAATCCAACAAGTCACGGCGGGTTCGGGAACGGGAGCTGCGTGAGCTCAACCTGCGCTACCAGCAGCAGTACACTGGCTGAGCACTGGGCTGGGACCTGCCAGGCATCTTCACACATGTCTTCTCTGCAGTGTAGGTGTGCAGCATCCACACACTCAATGAGGAACATCTAGGTTCCTCCTTCTCTCCCTCCAGGTGTCCCCCGCCATGAGGAGGTGTCCTTACCATGAGGAACCTCGTCATGGCTATTACCCTGCAAGCTGTGCCACAGGGGTCTTGTGTCTGAAATGGGGGAGCCCTTGTGGATCAGAGCACAACTCAAGAGTCTCAAGTAATACACAAATTAAGGAGCCACATGGGGAGAAAAGCTCATTCTGTAGTCCAGGAGCTTGGTTGTTCATAGTTATTTATTAATTCCAGAGCATTAAGTTTCTCTCGCATATAAAAAAGGAAGGAATCACTTTTAAGTTGATGCACACACACCTTAAGTGTGTGCACAGACACGTGTGGGTGTGTATCTGGTTTGAAAATGATACATACACAGAGTTGGAGCAGGTTTAGTTGGATCTGTGGTGCCTTGGTAGTGAGGCTGTTATGAATCATAGCATCAGAAGTAGGATAGCTCTGATTCACTAGTGTGCTGCACACCAACTCCTCGCTGAAGTGATGCCAGTTTTCTGGGATGTCTGGGAAGCTGTGAGGTTTCTCCAAGGGCTGCCATCCACTCACAGCATTGAGGGATTACTGGAGCTGCACCAGAGCTGCTGTGCAATTTGGGAACAAGGCTGAAATGCTGTGAGCTCGGAGCTTAGAGTCTGGCTCCTTGGATCTGGACAAGGGGTGCTACTGGTGGAAGGGTGGGAAGATGATCATTGTCCTGCAGGAACTTAATGGTACACAGATGTCTTTGGCAAGGCAGGATTTTGGGGGGTTCCTTGCTGTCTCTCTTGAATTAGCCCTCCCATATTTGCATCAAGAACAGCGCCTCCCAGGCAGGGTTTGTTCTTGCCGTGACCTGCCCCTGTCACATGTGTTTTTTGCCCCTAACACCAGCATTACCAACTGTGTCACTTCACCAAAGCTTTAGTGGTTCCAGGTCTTGCTCTCTGCAGGTTTTACAAGGCTCCCCTGCTTGCATGCCTACTTTGCCCTGGTACTGCTGTCCCTGCTCTGGGACAGTGAAGTGGTGGTGGGAGATGTTGGGATAGCCATAAATGGCTCCATAGCATCAGGGTAGGGGTTTGAGTATTGGAGGCCCAGTCCTGGAGTGTCAGCAGTGACAATACCCTGGAGATACTATGTTAACACTTTAGATCTGCTGGGGGGTGACTTAAATTCAACAGGAAAAAAGCTGCCTTTCAGTTTTCTTGGGCTGTGTGTCCGCTGTGGGGGCCTCTTGTGAAGGACCTTGCAGGGGAGGTGGGAGCTTTAGAGCTGAGCTTTGTGCAAGCCTGCTGAGATACCTCCCCAACTAGTTAGAGCAGTACATGGGGCTGATGGCACAGTGTCAGGGTAGATTTGGCCTCTTGTGGTAGCAGATACAAGACGTGCAGTGAAGGAGAATGTTGGCTTGGAAACTTTTCATATGAAACCCTACAGTTTGCTTTATGCTGTGCACTTGGAAGTGCTTGCTTGGCTCTGAGCTGGAGATACAGGCTATGCAAGCTCAAGGGCTGGTGAGCATGGCCTCTCCACCCAAGACTGATGTCTGTGCCACCACATTTTACTGTCAGCAAGGTTTTAAGTGGTTGGTCACAGGGAGCTTCAAAAGCAGCTCAACCTCAGTGGGGGAAAATTGAGTTTGCTGTGCTAAGATGGGCTATAACCACTGGGAGCACAGCCTGTGAGCCTAGGTGATGGGGAATACAGCAGAGGACACCTGAGGACAGGAGGTGTGTGTAGCAGTGGTGAATTCCAAATCCTTTGCATGGTTTTGCGTATTATTCTTAGAACTGTGCATCCTTTGCAGGCTGCCCTTTCTCTGAGTAGCTATCCTACGCATGGTCTTTCTTCCATCAGCTTTAGCAGATACCACAGAATTACCTAAAATTGGGGAGGTTTTTCAGCTCTGTGGATTGCAAAAAAAAAGAAAAAATTCTTCAGCTTCTTTTACCTTCTCACATAGTTTTTCCTTGGTCATTATTATGAACTGTAAGCTGGATGTGATTTCTGATACCTGACAAAACAGGCAGCTTGCCTTGTCTTGTTTCATAAACAATTCAGTGCCCCTCAAGATGACTCTCCAAAAGCAGCAACCATGCTACGACAAGTAGCAACTGGAAAATTCTTCTTTCCCTGTATGTTAAGAGATGACAGGATGCTCTCAGAGGGCTTCTGGCTTTGAGCTTATAGGAGTCTTGGAGCATCTCACAGGCACTGTGCTCCCTTTTGCCTCCTGGGTACTCTCAAGGCCATCCCCAGATTATTTTACACCATGTGTAGCCTTAAAAGAGGTGTTTTGCCTGTATGAGGTCAAAGTGATGAACTGAGCCAAGACCTCTAGAACCTGAGACCCTTCCCTTTAACCATTAGGCTAACCAAAATGCACAGGCATTGTACAGGTGTCTGCCCATACTGCTCCTTCATGTGTTCTCTTGTGGGGTGGGATCCATGAAGATGGAGATGAGGTCAGGATGTTGAGTTCTGCTTTGACCAGGCTTGTTTCTCCACCTTCACAAACAGAAGAAGAATCTCATCTGTGTCAGTTCTTGCTTTGTTGCTCTTTTCAGCAGTTGGTGGAAGGAGGAGTTCACAGTGATGTCACTGGAGGTGATTTTGGGGTGGAATATGTTTTGGGAAGCACGATATTGCTATGTAGCTTCCTAACAGTGTCAAGTCATCAAGTGATGATGGTCTAGGACTGGGAAGTGAATTGGCAGAAGGGAGGATCCTTCACTGACAGGAGCAATACTGGAGAGCTGCAACCCATCTTCTTGAGATGTGGAGATGTTTATGGTCCTCAGGCATGCCTCTGCTAGGGAACTGCACCAAAGAGGACCAAGTCTATCCCATAGGGGGCTTTGACTTTTATATAAAGATAACTCTAATTCTCTTGACAAATGCAATGTATTCTTATTTGCATGGAAAAATCAATATAAACATAGGGAAAATCTGTATGGGCTTTCCTTAGATCATTTTATTATAACACTCCTGTCTCAATCCCTTTTCTTTTTCTAAATTCAGCATTTTCAGGACCTCCTGTACCCAGACAATGACATGTGTGGGCAGAGGTGCACTAGCAGAGCTCCATCCAACTGACCCTTGGAGTCCTTGGTGATCTTTCTGTTTTCACTCTATCTGCAAAGCTGGAGTGGTCCAAATGCTGTGTTACGTGATCCAGCTTAAGGGCAATTTTTCTGGTGCTTGTACCCGTGCAGTTGTGGCACATTTGCAGCTGGATCGGAGGAGGCGCACACAGGCAAAGTGCTGTGATTTTGAGCCATAGTTCAAGTGCCTTCAGTCTTCTTCTAAGAAGCTCTTCACTGTGAATTACCTTGGTCATCTGTCTTCCATATATATTCCACAGGAGCATCTCAGTGCTCGGCTTATCTCAAGTCTCAGGAGTTTACGCTTTTCAGGAGTGCCTTGTTTGGGGATTTTAGAAGCTAAAATCTCTCTGATGTGATTTTTTTTTTCCTGCTCTTCTGTTAATTTTTAAATCTCCTTGTTTGGCTCTTAATGGTGGCTCTGATTTGACTGGCAGGGTTTTGGGGAAGACTTCCTCTGCTGCTGAATTAGTTGTGAGGAGTCAGGTAACAAACAGATGTTCCAGCCCCTTAGCTGGGGGAACTAAGCTTCATATTAGCTGGGGTGCAGATCTCCTGACTGCTTTTGTTTATGCAATGAAAATGAAGCTGGAATGACACCTAGTGGCAAACTGTATTGTGTCCCTGTACAGCCCTCTCCTGGTTTCCTTCCCTCAGTTCCTGGGTGACATGCTCTTACAAAGAGAACTCTGGGTTTGGTGTGCTGAGTGATGGTCATGGACCACACCTGCAGTACTTATGTTCAGCAACCTTCTCAGCATGGCACAGTTTTATCCTGAAGTGATACAGTGATCCTGAAGAGCAATTAGACAACACAGGGGTGAGCATGTGCACCCACTGGAACGTATCAACCCCCAGTGTCTCAAGGAGATGCTCACCAGCACCCTGCCCTGGGGGGGAGGCATCTTGAGGGACACTAAGAGAAAGAAAAACCTAAAGACACCAAGGCTGGAATCACTAGGTTTGGGACTTTCTCCCATCATGAGACACTATGGTGCAGCTCAGGGTGTTGCTTTCCAGCATATTCTATTTCAGGGGAATGCGGTTGTAAGTAGTAGAGGGAATGACGGTTGGTTGTCTTTTGGAACTTAGCAGTACTGTGTAAGACATCCCCATCGTTTTGCCCTGGGAGTTTGGCTGCTTTCTTGGGGGAGAAATTTATGGCTTCAAAGCATGTGGCCTGTCAGATGCATGTTTTTTATATACTTTTTTTTAAGGGTTATTGGGAAGGAATGTGGAAAGGTCTTCCAGAAATAACATTAGGTGGTCTGCAGCCTTACATTCATGTATTTTTCTTTGCATTTTACTAAAACAGCAGTTACTTGTTCATGTTTGATTTACTTCTCACCCTTCTCAGGCTTCTAAAAACCTAACATGTCAACCAAGTGGTGGTAGAAACCTCCGTTTCTTCAACCCAAGGGAAGTCTGTGCTATTTGACACTGAGCTTGTGAGCATCCAGAGGCTCCTGCCAGTCCCTGGACTGCATTGTTCTTGGAAATGCACAACTGGATGTGAAGGCTTTATAGCCATGATTGGAGTGCAAGGGCTCTGACCTGGCTTTGGTAGTGTTGTGGAAACCAGCTGCAGGGTGGGGACTCTGTTACAGATTTATGTTGAAAATGATAAATCCTCAAACTCTTAACTTCTTTGGAATTTGTTTATTTTCTCCTTGTAGTCTTTTCTACTTCGGTAATTTACTGCTCAGTTTCTCAGTCCTGTTTTTCTATGTGGGTGTTTGGCTGAAGTACTAATAAGGTCAACTTTGATGCAATGCACAAGCTGGAATAGGAGGCATGGGCAATGTGACCACTTGGCAGCAGCTCTGGATTTGGCTCTGCAGGAGCCATGGTGAGTCCTGGAGTGAGATAAAAGCAGCTGTACAGTGTCCTGCAGGTGTGAGAAGGCTCTCTTTGGGGGCCCTACAGTGCAGGCTTAGCAAAAGATGGTCTTGTACAACACAGGTCAACTAGTGTGTGGCTGTTAATAAGCCTCTTACTAGACTGCATGGGACCATATTCTTATTTCAAGTGATGATACTAAAGATTTGGAGGGTTTGAGGTGGGTTAAATTGAAATCTCAAATGTTTGACTTAATTCAGTTTTCTAAATGAAAGAGAGATTGTTTTTTTGGGGGGGGGAATCACACCCTCCGGAGGAGTTGGCAGCCTGTTGTCTGGCAGCAGCGGGAGCCCTGGGACTTGCAGGAAGGGTGATTCTGTTCTGGCCTCTCACCAGCTTGGCTTTATCCTGGAAAATACCACAAAGTGCCTGTGCCACTTAGTGCCAGATGCCAAGTTGCCTACACCACTCTGGGGAGGTTTTTGGTGCTTTTTTTGACTGCTCAGTGTCCTGTTTGAGCCTGGACAAAGATCACAGCTCCCGGGTGCTCCAGAGGCAGGTGCCTGCAGGTCACTTGTGCTTTACTGTGCAGTGTATTTGCCACAAAAAGAAATGTGAAGCAGAAGGATGCATGGTGGCAAAAGCATCATGGAGCTTGGTACCTTCCACCCTTGGTGTCCCTTCAGGGGAGGGAGCTCTGCCTGCATGAGGGCAGCTCTTTCTTCTTCCACTATGCTCCCCTGTGTGGTGATTCCATGGGTCCCTCGTGTGTGATGTGACTGTTGTACTGTGTTTGTCTGCTGAATGTGGAAGAGATTTGTGGCCCTGGCCAGGTGGGTTGGGAATGAGGAGCTCCTGTGTGGATGCCCAGATGCCATGAGTTTTCCTGTTGCCTTTCACTACGGAAAGACACCTCCCAGGACACTGTTAGGCTGGAGATCTGCCAGCACTCACTGTTATTTTTGGTTGCTGAATTTCCGGTACTGGCTTGAAATGATCTGGAAGTAATTCTGGTCGCATCCTGTTCATCTCCTTAAAGGGCTGTTTTGAGCAGCATCCAGTTCTGTGACATGCCTTTTGAATCTTTACCCTGAAAATTGTCTTGTTAGGATGAAGTCTGAACCTTTGTAATTAATCTGTAACGTTACAATTAGTGTGTACAGAATTATTTATTTTGTGTACTCGGTCTGCTAAACATGGAAGTGTATCTGTGTACCCCATCGCCCTGCTGTCATTACATCTGCCTCATAGAACCAGAAACTAGGTTGGAAAAGACCTTTAAGATCATCAAGTCCAACTATTCCCCAGCACTGCCAAGGCCACCACTGAACCATGGCACTGAGGGCGTCATCTACATGGTGTGTGGACACTTCCAGGGACGGTGACTCCACCACTGCCCTGGGCAGCCTGTTCCAATGCCTGAGCACCCTTTGGGGAAGAAATTGTTCCAAACATCCAGTCTAAACCACCCCTGGTGCAGCTTGGGGCTTGTCCTATCCCTTGTTCCTTGGGAGCAGAGACCAGCCACCTCCTGGCTCCATCCTTCTGCCAGGCAGTTGTAGAGAGGGATAAGGTCTTCCTGAGCATTCTCTTCTCCAGACTAAACCCCCTTCAGGTCCCTCAGCCATTCCCCATCACACCTGTGCTCCAGGCCCTTCACCAGCTCCGCTGCCCTTCTCTGGACCTGCTCCAGCACCTCAGTGTCTCTCTTGTAGTGAGAGGCCCAGAACTGAGCACAGGATTCAAGTATCCATGGGTTACCACGGGCTGATTTGCTGCAAGGAGCCACTTTCTGGGCTGTGAACGATGGTCTGGAAAGGCAGGAAGGAACTGCTCAGCCCTCTAGTACGTTGCACAGCAAGAAGGTATCAGAGTGCCCATAAAAGAGTTTGCTGGGGTCTTAATTGCAGCAGCCTCAGAAGGTGCCTAAGGGAGACCTGGTATGGGGCTGGGATGTCTACAGGGATGCTCCGGGGGAATCGGGTGCTCAGCCTCTTGCTGGAAGGCAGGGTTTGGAGGCTGAGCAGGCACCTGGGGACAATTCCTCCCCTCTTCTTTGGCTTGCAAGGTGGCAAACTGGGCCAGTGGAATACCCTGGGTCACCCCCAGCAACTTGTCATCTCTCCAGTTCCACCCTGAGCAGCTTCTGGGGACCAACAGGGAAACCTGCCACACCAGTGAAAAATGCACACCCCTTTTGAACCATCCCCTCCTGGAAAGGTGAGTTCTCAGGAGCAAGGGACCCCATCCCAGCAGGGGTGGGGAGGGGTGACATTGGCAGAGGTTTTATATCACATTCACATCACTGTTAAAAAAACACCCTCTGCCTCACTCTGGGACAGTCTGATCCTGCTCTTCTGGACCAGCTCTATTTTGAGCTGCCAGGAACCAGGTTTCCCTTGGTGTGTGTTCCCATGTAAATTATGGGTCTAAATAGCAAGCAGGGAACTTTTAAGACCTTGTGCACACACCAGCACCCACCTCCCGTGGCAAGAGGAGCTGCAGCTCCACAGGCCCTTTCCTGGTAGGACTGTGTGGTGCTGGAGACCCTGCGCCTGGATCAGTGAAGAACCATCACAGGCACTTCACCCACCGTCAGTGCTGGGGTGGTCTCTGGGCTGGTGCTGCCATGAGCAGCCCTTGAGCTGCATCCAGCCCTGCTCCCCCTCTGCCTGGGCATCGTGTCCTGGCTTCCCCCCTTTCCAGCAGGTCCCAGGTGTCACCAAGCTCCAGCTCTGAGAAGTGCTGAGCTTCAGGAGAGGAGCAGAGGGTATCCCAGGCTCCCCGTGGTCTGCATCATGAGAGGAAAGGAGCCAGAGGCAGTGCTGGAGAATGCTGACGCTTTATTCCAAAGCGGATTGCTTTGCTCCCAGCCCTGCTGAGCTCCCTGTGCTGGGAGCAGCCACCAGTGACGGGATCCATCCACCACCGGCTCTAAGCTTGAATAACGTTGTTGATCCAGTTTCGGAAGTGGCTTACACGGGTGTAGGCAGATGGTGTGTTGACATTGCAGTTGCTGCTGCCCCAGGAGACAATGCCAATTAAGGTCCAGAGGCTCCCATCCTGGTATACCAGAGGTCCACCAGAGTCACCCTGCAGAGAAGACACCTCCAGCTTAGTGGTCCTACCACATGCTCCAAACTGGTCCTTGCCACCCCCAGGCACCTGCTCCCCTGGACATGGAGCTCCATGTCTCTGACTCTGCCCATACAAGGATGAGGAGGAGGAGCCCATGGGTCCTCTTCCTCTGGCCTCCCTGTGCTCAGCAGGAGCAGCTCCTTACCTGGCAGGATGAGGCACCGACGCCACCAGCACAGACCATGGAGCTGGTGATCTTGCTTCCCCAGTACTCGGCACACTTGCTGGAGGAGATCAAGGGCAGGGATACCTGCTGTAGGCTCTCTGCCAGCACGTAGGCTATGGGAAAGAAGCACCATAAAACACCCTGGTGTCAGCAGCTCTTCTGGGGCCTTTGGGAGTGTACAAGGCACCCTGGGCAGCTCCTGAACACACAGGTGCTGCCATGCAAAGCGCCTTTCCGTCCATGCCAACATATTTCTTCTTCCCAAGAAAATGCCCCATCCCTGGCAGTGTTCAAGGCCAGGTTGGAGGGGGCTTGGAGCAACCTGGTCTAGTGGAAGGTGTTCCTGCCCATGGCACAGGGTTGGAACTGCATGAGCTTTAAGGTCTCTTCCAACACGAATCAATCTGTGATTCCACGATTCCCCAAGAGAGATCATCTTGGCCAGACAGCCCTGAACAAGGGCAGGCTTGTGCCCATTCTCAGTTTGCACCCATCCACGTCCTGAGCACACACACCTACACCCGTGCTTGCACCACCGCACACGTATTCACACTTGCACGTGACAAGACAGGGTCACACACTGCCCAGCTCCCCTACCCCATGTGCAGACAAGGTGTCATCCCCCAAAGGTGCCACCAAGCACACTTAGACCATGCAGGGCCCTCCCCAAAGCTGCAGTTATTTACAGTTGACACTGGTGCGTCCCCAGCCGGTGGTGACACACTGGAGGTTGTCGGGCAGATGCAGGTCAGGGGGGGGCAGGCAGACAGGGGACACACGGGGTCCCAGCTTGGCAGGTGAGGCGAGCTTCAGCAGGGCGATGTCATTGCTCAGGGTGTACGGGTTCCAGTTGGGATTCGTGACGACCTGCCAAGAAATACCAGAATGTGAGACGGGCTTTGGACAAGGGCCTGTAGGGACAGGACAAGGGGGAATGGCTTTAACCTGACAGAGGGGAGACTGAGATGAGATCTTAGGCAGAAGTTCTTCCCTGTGAGGGTGCTGAGGCCCTGGCACAGGTTGCCCAGAGAAGCTGTGGCTGCCCCATCCCTGGCAGTGTTCAAGGCCAGCTTGGACAGGGCTTGGAGCAACCTGGTCTAGTGGAAGGGTCCCTGCCCGTGGTGGGGGTTGGAACTGGATGGGCTTTAAGGTCCCTTCCAACCCAAACCAGTCTGGGATTCTGATTAATCCCTGCCCTCCAAGAGCAGCTATTTTGCAGAACTGCAGCCCCATCCCAGCACCAGGGCTGCCCAGCTCACCCTGACCACATTCTTCACTTGAACAGAGTCAGCCCTGGAGGTGCGGTCATATCCCCCAAGGACGACGACATGGAAGAGCGGCCTGTGAGAGGTAAGAGGGTCAGTGGGACACATGGCAACCAGCACCTGGGGTGGGAGCAGTGCTGGGAACATGCTGCACTGAGTGCCCAAAGGAAGCCACCGTGGGGACAGTCTAGGGGGAAGCCCCTGGCTGCTCAGTTCCTTGGGTGCTGGCCTTAAGGGCTGTCCCAGCTGCCACTCAGTGATGCCCAGCACGCCCCAAGCCCCTCGTGGCACCAGCATGGTCTGCTGGACATTGCTCCTCACTTGAATTCGCAGTGGGCAGCGGTGACAACCCAGTTCTCGTTGATTAAGGAGCCACCACAGAAGTGGGATCCGAAGCGGTTCTGGGGAGGAAAGAAGGAGGAAGAGGTAGGGCTGGGCAGGCTGAGTTCCCTCCTGAAGTGGGGGACACGCAGAGGGTGTCACTGGGCCTCTTGGTGGCTGGAGGAGTCAATGCAGTACCTGCAGGGAGACCTGCCAGGGCCATGATCCAGGCACTGCATTCTGCCCATTGATGATCCTCTCGGTGTGGTGGAGCAAGGGGCTGATGCTGGGCTCCCCACAGCCTGTGGGAGAGGCAGACGGGCACAGGGGTGACCCCAAAAGCTCAGGGCTCACACGTAGGAGCAGCCTGTGCAGGTGCAAGTGGCTCTATGTCACCATCCCTGGGGTGCCTCGGTCCTCCCCACACCCGTCAAAGTGCTTACCTGAGACCGTGCTGGCAAGGGCCAGGCAGGCAACTACCCACAGAAACGCCATCCTGGGAGGACTCGGCTGTGCCACTGAGGCCACCAGCTTTATAGCAGCCAGGAGCTGCGTGGCTTGTAACTGGGCAGGGTAAAGTCCCTGCTGTGGGGACCTGGCCAAACCTGGGACCTATCCTTTCCCATGCAAGTGCAGACGTGGGAACAGGCTGTCAAAAGCACTCTGGGGTGCTTGGGCTGTGATAGCTGTGTTTGTGCGGTGGAGCACTGCAGGGCAGTGCTGGGGGCACACAGCTGGGGTGGCAGTGGGGCTGGGTGTGCTGGGACAGATGCCAGTGCCCAGGCTGGGGGAGGTTACCCCATCCCCTCCCCTGTTGACGTCTGCTGGCCCTAGAGCTCTTTTCCATGCAAGCCCTGGCCTGGGATAGCGCCCATCTCAGCTGGATGTTCCCAGGGCACAAGGACAGACCATGAGCCGTGGCTGGATGCAGGTGAGCGTGTCCCAGAGCCGGTGGGGCAGGTGGGGTGTGCAGACACCTTCCCAGGCAGGCAGCAGATGTGGCCAGAGCTGTAAAGACACTGCAATCCCCAGGGAGGATTGGAGCACCTACCCTGGACAGGGGGGTACACAGTGTCTCATCACCCCTGGGCTGATGCTGAGCACAGGAATGAATCCCCCTCTCCCTTCTGTGCCACCCATATGCCCTGTCCCTTGCCCTAGCGCACTGGGGAGCAGAGCCTGGATGCTGGTGAGTGATTGCTGAGCTCAGGCCTTTATTTCTGGCAGTGGTGCCATGCAAGGAGAGCAGGATCTGGCCCGCCACAAGGCAGGAAATGTGGAGGTCCTACAGGGTGCTGCAGGGGCAGGATGCAGGAAGAGAGACAAGGCTTCGCTCCTGATCTCCACATGGCACCTGGGGAGGACATAACTGATGGCTGGACAGCAGTGGAAGATGGAGGAAGAGCCAGTGCCCAGGGCAGTGCTGCCCATCATGGAGGAAGCTTGTGACAGGGGGATGCTGAACACAACAGTCTTGGACTCAAGTCCTGTCCTGAATGTTGGCAAAAGAGCCAGGCCAGGAGCTGGGCAGGTCAGAGGAACTCAGAGCTGTCCCTTCACACCAGAAGGGACAGGGTTGACAGCACTACCCCAGGTGCTGAGAGCCCCCTGTGCCCTTCTCCTCTGCATCTGTGAGCCACAATGAGCTGGCTAAGCTGCTCTCCACTGTCCATGCAGGGCCCAGCCTGGTGGAGCAGCAACAGCAGACTTCTGGTTTGAGCCAAAACAGATCAAGTCATCCCATGGCTAAAACCCTCCTGCAAGCTTGGGTCTAGCAAGCCTCCAGCCTGCCTCAGAGCTGAGGTGGTAACAGACTCCATGGTGGGATGTGCTGGCTCAGAGAGTTGGGGAAACCCAAATACCTCTAGCCCCACGGAGACGTGGACTAACCCCAGCTGCAGACTCCTGTCCTGTGCTCCGTGTCTCCTCTCTTTCCTGCAGGCAATAGGCCAACCCTGAACTCCTGCCTCAGCAGTTCAGCACAGCAGCTACAGGCTGGTTTTCTCCTGACCCGGATCTCCTGGGACTGGTGCTTGCAGCAGGGAACAATCAGCCCAGCAAGGCAGAGGAGGATGGCACATATCCACACTATCTCCAACACAGGGCAAGGTGCTGTGTAGGGGATGCCATATGGCATCTCCACTCTCCCCTCATGCAGTCTTAGCAGTGTCCTGCACAGTCCGTATGCCTGTGGGGCAGTGGGAGCAGGCTGTGGGCACAGTGTCAGGCACACTTGCCCTTGCGAAGGCAGAAGGGCAGCTCCTGCATGGGGACCAGGATGGTGCTGAAGATGGGCCGGTAGCTCTCTGGCACGACCTGGGGATGCTGCGCCATCATGTCCAGCACCATGTGCCGCACCTCCTTGGAGACATCACCCCGGATATCCAGCAAGGTGGAGATGTGCTCATCGCTGCGAGAGAGCAAGAGGTGAGTCGGGTGCTGCTGTCTCGTGGCACGGTCCACAGTGTCCCACAAACCACCCATGATCCAGAGAAGCTGAGCTGAGCCCAGTGGAGAGTTGGTGCCTTGCACCAGACAAACTTTAAAGTTTACTTGAAAATAACCCCACAAACCTTATAGATTTGGTTTTGCCATTTCATGGGTTTCAGCTGATTCTGACATTTCCAATTTGGTGGTTTGTGATTGCTCACACTTGATTTGGCCACCAAATACAGGTAGGTGAGTGCCACAGGCAGAACTGCTTTTTCCTTTACATCTTTGCCCATGGGACTTTGCAAGAACCCCTCAAATCTGGAGCATGGGAAAGGGAAACCTCAGGAACAAGGGGAAAAAGCTCAGGTTGGGGCCTGCTCTGCAGCGTAACCTCTCAGGGTCCATCCCAAGCACCTGCCGTGGGCAGACTCACACCTTCCCCTTCTCACAGGAGGCCAGAGCTGGACTTTTACCTGACATCAGGGTACTTGGTGATGAAGCCCAGCACCTCCAGGCTGAGCAGTGCTGGGTCTTTGAGGCAGATAAGCTCCTGCAGGGCAAAGACGGCCTCCAGGCTCTGCTGATTCTGGTCCAGACCCTGGGAGGGAGAGCAGCCACATGTGGGACCACGACACCACCACAGTGGCCGTGAGATGCAGCCCAGTCCTCAGTACCCACATGGGGACCTGCCCCTTCCACCTCCCCATTCAGCATGTCCCACTGCGCAGCCTCAGTGACCACCACTGGACAAGGTGGATGGTCCCCCGAGTCCCTGATCCAGCCAGTTCCTCCCGTCCTGGCCTCCCAACTGCCCAAGTGTAATAGCCATATCTTGTTCATGGGCTGATGTACCCAACTCCATCCTAGAGGGCAGCAGGAGGGTGATGGAGTGGAGCTGTGAGCTCCCTGCACCGACCTCATTGTGTGGCCAGCCCCAGCTCCCCAGCACACCACAGCACCTCTCACCAGCCCGCAGAAGAGCTCGCGGAGCTGCATGGCATCCAGCAGCAGGCGGGCACAGAGCTGGCCCCGCTCCTCCTCACTTTTGCACACCACCTTCTTCTGCATGAGCGCCCGCAGGTACTGGCTGGCCACCAGCAGCTCGGTCTCCATCAGCAGGAGCTGGGCAGGGAGAGCTGTTAGCACTGGGCACCAACTGGGCATCAATCCCAATGGCCCAGGGAAAGGCAGAGGAAAACGGATTGCATACAACACCAAGCCGTGAGGACAACCTGCTAGGAAGCCCCCTGGCTGGAGGGACAGAGAAAGGAGCTGAATTTGGGGGAAACCCTGAGGACCTCTGCATGGCAGTGCCCTCCAGGCTGCTCCAGAGGATACAGGCTCTCCAGCGAACCCAGCAGTGACTGCATCCTCTGGGGATCCTGCACTCCAGTGTGGCACCCAGCCACCCACCCTCCTCACCTTACAGACAAAAGCCATTTGAAAGACACCCCGCAGCAACTGTACCATGAAGATGGGTCTCCTGACATGGGAGAAGTCCTTTGCATACTTGTCGATCACTTCACACATGCTGCTGACAAGCTGAGACCCCAAGAGCCACTTGCGGGAATGCAGCTGCAGGCAGAGGGGCTGGAAGAAGCAGAGGAGCAGCCTGTGGTGCTCTGCTTCCACTCACCCTCACAGCCACAGGGCACCTTGACATCCCACCATTGCTGCCTGCTCTGTCTGCAGTGTCCCCCCAGCCCCAGCTGCCAGCCAAAAGTCACCATCAAACTAGAAGAGTGCTCCAGATTAGGAAATAATGGAAACATACAGGGTCTTCCCCTCTCTCACACCCAGACAGCCGCTGGTTAGGGCTTTATCTAGGTCCCAATGCCCCATCGTGAGCAGCACCCAATGTCTGGGCTGCAAGCTACTCCTTTTGGAGCTTTTGGCCTGACCTGCTGTGATTTTCTTCTTAATCCCCACTCCACTTCCCTTGTGTACACATAACATGTTTATGGCCGAGGGCTTTGATCTCCTCCTACTCCTGCACCACTGTCCTTGCCTGTCCTCCTGCCTGCAGGCAGACATTTCCTCTGTGTCTGCTGGGGCCAGAGCAGTCTCTACTCTGCCTGCGAGCATTTCACCCCTTAGCTGCTCCTTTGTTTTCATGGCATTCGAGCCCTAAATAGCAATGCCATTCATTATTCCAGATTTTCAGTCCAGGAAAGCTAAATGTGATTACGCTGGCAGGAAATGACTCAGGCAGCATATGGGCTCGTATCCTCTGCATGACATCGCCTCTCTCCTGTTGGTTTTCTGCCATGGAATAGACATCAAAAGGAGCGCTGGGCAGCCGGAGGGGCTGTGGCTCCTAGTCTCTGTTGGAACGTGATTTGGGGGCCTGGAGACATTTGCCCCAGCGTGTCTGGTGACACATGGGTGAGCTGTGTGTGGTTATCAAGGTCTGGGAGACAGATGGTGGAGATGTCCGCAGGATGATAGCAGGGCAGGGGGTAGTGGTGGGGACACTTGGCAGGAATGAACCCCACCCGGGGTTGTAGCTGTAGGGCTATTCTTGCTGGGGACTGGTTTGTTGCAGCCCTGCCAGCCTCTGTGGCTGTGGACAAATGTACCTGCAGGTCCAGGAGCAGCTCCTCCAGCAGCAGCTGGCAGGCCTTCTTCTGCGTCCTGTCAAAAGCAGCACGGAGGGACAAGGGGACTTCTCTGGAGGCAGTGTTGGGGTGCAGGGAGGAGACAGAGGAACTGGGAGAGAGAGCAGAAGGGAGGATACAGCTTCCTTTTGCGTGGTGGGATCACTATAAGAGCTACAAGGTGCTGGAGCACGTTACCTGAGAGCCAGGTTGTTGTTGAGTGTGGCTAGTAGGTAGGACATGTAGTATTTGGGTATGGAACGGTCCTTCTGGTGCTCCTTCCCACACTGCACTATGGCTTCCCGCAGCCTGCAACACAGTGAGTCAAACATGGATTGGCAGAGCTCTGGATGTCTCGCCACAAAGACCTGGAGTCGGGGTGCTCCTGGGGGCATGTGGACGTCCACAACCCCCCCAGCTTACATAGCTCTTTCCAGCTCCAGCCACCAGGTTGGAGAGTGACAGGTTACTGGGCAGGGTGGGAAACTGGACCCCCTTGGAAGAGGAGACTGGTGCTACCAGAGAAGCCCCGGGGGCAGCAAGCCCAGAGAGTTGATGCCCCATGAGGGCTGGGACAGTTGTTCCATGTGTAGGCAGGCTGCTGAGCCTTCTGTGACCTGGATGAGCACTGGGTGCTCTGCAGCAGATCTCCATCAGCCTATGATGCTTGGACATGGCACCCCAGGTTTGTGAGGATGGGCAGGGGTGTGAGTGACTCCACTGACCGGCCTAGAAATGCCTCAAGCTCCTCTAAGGCCATGTTGTAGACCTTCTGCTGCAGAGATTCAGTAATCAAGGAGGCTACCTGGATATTCTCTTTCAGCATCTGGAGAGGGAGAAGCAAGCAGAGTCAGTGAGAGGCTGCAGGCCATGACCCCCTTCCTGGCGGCTCTCATCATGGTCCTGCACCCACAGTGCTGCGGACCCACCTGCATGACAATGATGGGCAGGGCTGACTGGAAGAAGCCCTGATGGTCCGTCTCAGGTTCCTCTTCCCTGAACCATTCCTTGAACTCCACCTCCAGGGTCCTCTGCATCCACTCGAGCACACTGGCCTGTGGGATGGGTGCCTACCACTGTCAGCCCAAGTCAGGTACTGACTCCCTCTGAGACCCAACACAGCTCAGCAGCAAGTTCTGGGCCTTGTCCCACAGGCTCACAGTTTTCTGCTGCTGTTAGAGCAGATGCTGGCTCAGTGGTGGCCACTGGGTCCTCATACCTATTGACCGTCCAGCTCACTCACCTTGACTTTCATCACGTATTTCCTCTCTGTCTGATCCGTGAGCTCAGGGGACATCAAGGGACCCAGAGCAGAAACATCCACTTCTGGGAGAAGGTCGGGGTGACCCATCATCTCTGGGCTGGAGGGCAGAGGTAGGACAGGGCTGGGAAGACCTATGTTTTTCAGGAGTTCCCACCTCTACCCACTATGATCCCCAAGCAGCCAGAGCCACTCTCCCAACCCACACATGTGCTGGTGGACAGCCCGGCTCTCCACAACCACCCCTGCTGGGTCAGTGCTGACCTGTTGTACACACAAAGCGCCCACTCCAGGAGGAGGAAGAGTGCCTGTTTGTCCAGGTCCTCCCGGAGGATGTCCTGGAGGTGGCTGCTGAGGGCCTGGTGGAAGGTGGCAGTGCAGACACTGAGGATCTTGTAGTGAGATGGGACACACTGGACCATCAGCTCCTTCACCACACGCAGCTCAGACACAATGCCTTTCTGCAGTGCTGCCAAGTGCCTGGCCAGCCCTGACCCCTCCATGTCCATGCGGGGGGCTTGAAAGTGAGATCCTGTGATGGTCTCCTGGAGAACGTGGTAGAACTTCTGCCTCCAGCCCTTTGGACGGCCAGGGGGCAGGAAGGTGGCCTCCAGGAGCAGAGTATCATCTATTTTCTCCTCCCGCTCAATGATCCTTATAGCGCTGACAAAGAGAACTGGGTCCTCATGCACCAGATGCAGGCTGCTGCCCACGATGTCCCACAGCTGCTTGGCCAGGGTCTCATTGAGCTCCTGGAGGCCACTGAAGTAGGACAGTACAGTTGTCTGGGCACTTGAGAATCCGCGGAGGTGCAGCTGGGAGAGGATGTCATCCCGGAGGTGCTCCATCATCATGAGCTCTGCGTGGGCCTCCAGAAGCTGCTGCCCATGGAGCAGCTGCAGTGTATGGGAGAAAACCTCTTGGACTGTGGGAAAGGGAGGAGAAATGCCAGGACTGAGTGCAGAGAGTGCAAGGGGTGGCCACAAGGGTCATGGGTGCAGGGTAACAGGGAGATGGTGAGGGGAAGGGCCTGAAATCCAGGACTTTGGGAACACCATGCTGGAGCAAGCCCTGGGGATGCAGTGGCATCTCCATCCACAGAGACTTTCCAAACCCAACCAGCAAAGCCCAAGCAACCTGCTCCAGCTTTGCCACCAGCTCAGGGCTGGACTGAAGCTCTCCCCAGTGCCTTTCAGCCCAAAGCCATGAGGACCAGGCCAGTGTCTTACCTGAGAAGAGCTGAGGCAGCACCTGGACCACCGAGGCCAACTGCACGTGCTCTGCCATCAGCGCCCGCATCTGCTGGAGGCCCTGGAAGCGGTCTGCAGTGTTGAGCAGGGCCCATCGTGCAGCCCCCAGGTCCTGGCACAAGCTCTGCACCTCTTGGGCTGCTGACCGCAGCTGCTCCAGCCCTGCACTTACCCCCTCCAGGTAGGACTGGACAGTGGACTGGGGAGCAGAAGAGGACGAAGTGGCAGTGGAGCAGCTCTCAAAGGCTGGAGGACTCGCACATCATGTGCCCCATCCCTACAAGGTCCTTTTTGCATCCAGTTTCGCAGTCTCACAGGGCCACACCTGCCTCTGCCATCACACCATTACATCCCAAACCCTTCTGCGATGACCCCATCCCACCCACCTCCAGCAGGAGGAATGACTCATGCACAGCTGGGAGACAGGCATCACTTTGAGTAACCAAGGCAGCAGGGTGAGCTGTAACCAGATGTTTTTCAGTTTTAAAAGACTACTTTGCTTCTGCAGAACACTAACAGGCCACAGGATCCCCATGTGCCCCCGTAAAGGGGGCATATTAATGGCATGAAGCACCTCAATGGCAATACAAACCCTCCTCCCATCTTTTCCAGCTGGCACATCTCCGTGCCCTGTCTACTCATTTAACTCCCAGCTCCTGGTGCCAGTAAGCGCTTAACCCAGCATCACCAGAAGCAAGGTGTTTCTGAGGCCACATTGCTTAAAATGTGTCACCTCCTGGACAATGCACCCACATTCCAGGTAGGACAAACTATCTCCAAAATCATCAGGAGAAGGTCGGGGTGCTCAGACCTTCTTAAGGTCTGAGGTTAATTATTCCTTGGGTTATGCAAAAAGAGTTGCCCTGAGCAGGGAGCATGGGGAGCCCTTATGGTTGTGTGGAAATGGTGCTTCTCCTGTGGGAATCTGCAGGCAGGGGTATACTCTAGCTCTTTGCCTCCTCCTGGCCATGGTGAACAGGAACCTTGGTGCTGGGATGGAATGGTACGATGTGCTGACCACCCTTGGTGGTTTGCTTTAAGGAGGGGTAGAGACACGGGAGACTCGTTTTAGGACAAGATCTTGACAGAAGTGGATACAGAGATGATTCAATGCACAAGGGGAAATGCTGTCTGGGGTCTCTGCTTGGGGAGGCTGTGGGTGTCCCTGGGGTGGGCTGTGCTGAACACCCACCTTCAGCCGGGACTGGATGGAGCTGTTCCTCTGTGTCTCTCGGCTCCGGTACTGCCCCAGCCCCTCCAGTTTCTCGGGGCGGTAGAACACCCCTGAAGCCCATTTCAGAGCAGCTCCTCTCGCCAACTTCTCGGCCTTCTCTGCTTCCGGCCACTCCTGATCTGGGGATGAAGCCAGGGGTTAAGAAGCACAGTGAAGCCTCTCCTGGCAGGGCAGGAAGGGCCCCTTGGCGGGAAGCTGCCATCAGACTTCCAAGCACACCCAGATGTGTGAAACAAAGACTGCAAGTGGGTTCACCTGCGAGGGCCCCTGAGACACCACCACGGGCTGAAGTTGTCACAGTGGCTGTGCTGAGGGGCTGCCACCCACCCCCACAGCTTGCGCTGTCCCCCAGGCCCAGCACAGGACCCCACCACCATCCCGGCGCAGTGCTGGGCTGTCTGAGGAGGGGTGATGCCACCAGGAAGCCCATGGCAGGACTGAGGCTTTGGCAGTGAGTCAGCAAGAGGGGTGGCGCGATGGCAGCTCTTGCATGAGGGAAAGCCAAGCCGAGGCGAGGAGGTGGGGGGCTGCAGTGTCCCCCTTGGCACAGGGTCCAAAGCCATGAAAAGGACCTCTGTCCAGAGCAGAGCAGAGCTGAGAACCAGTGCAGCTATCACACGCCAGCCCCAGCTGCAGATTTGTTTCATCTTGCCCTATCCCCAGCACCTCCCTGCAGCCTGTGGGGATATCACCATCAGGCTCTGCTCTGCTGTGAGCCTGCCTGCACTGGCACTAGAGGCTTCAGAGGAGGCTGGTGGCTTTGAGGACAAGCCATATGTGATGAGCAGCGCTGCTTTGGGCGCAGTTATCACCATCAGGAAACAGCCAGGCTTCACCCTCACCAAGAGCACAAGGACCAGCCCCGGCACAGGGAAAAGGTCCATGGGGTGTTGAGGCAGAGGGCAGGGGAGACCCCGAATTGTGCTGCAAGCCATCCCTCCCTGCCCACCGCCGCCCCGGGGCTGGCCGCATCCTCCCGTTACCTCTGGGGCTCGCAGCGCGCTCGTCCTCCGCAGACAAGCCCATGGTGTCCTGGCTGTGCGGGGCTAACGGAGCCAGGGCAGGGCTGCGCGGAGGAAGCGGCGACCGTTTCCTCAGCCTCAGATCCCCATTGTGTTCTCGCAGCTCAGGACGTCAGGCACGGGGGGCGGAGGGGAGGGGGGGCACGGAAGAAAAGGCGTCGCGGCTGCCGCAGGGCTCAGGTCTCGAAATCACGCCCTGTGTGGCCCCTCGCTGGGCCCCGCAGCTCTGCCCGGGGAGCACAGAGCGAGGGGCGCCGACCCTCGCTAGCGCTTCCAGCGCACCTTGTCCGTCCATTCCGGGAGCACAGCCAACCGCGGGCGGGGGGGGGGGGGGGAGTGGTGAGGGGGACAGAGAGCGGGGGGGAAGCGGCGATGGACCATCCCCACCGGGGACGGACTTTTCTGTCTGGGAACGGACCATTCCCGGTTGGAGACGGAGCCTTCCCGGCCGGGAATGAACCCACCGGCGTCCCTCCGCCAGACACAGCCCTCCCGGGGCGCGGGACAAAGCGCTTGCCCTCGCGCTGGGACGGATGATGGGCACAGCAGCAAACCGCGTGCTACAGGGTCTAACTGTGGGCTCGGTGCCGCTGGGAGCGAGGGGAGGGACGCCCCAGTTTCACCCTGGACTGTTCCCCGCCGCGCATGGGGCAGGCGGCGCCCGCGGCCCCGCCGTGTGCCCCCGAAGAAGCAGCCTAAACCCCTCGCCCGCCCCGGAAGCTGCCGCATTGCCCCGCGGCCCGGAAGCGGAAGCGCGGCGGTGCCGGAGCCGGCGGACGGCGGGCAGATGGCGGAGTGCGGGCCGCAGCCGTCCGGTGGTGGGAGCGGGTCCGGGTCCGGAAGCGGCGCTGCGCCGAGCCGGCACGAGAAGAGCCTGGGGCTGCTCACCACCAAGTTTGTGTCGTTGCTGCAGGAGGCCAAGGACGGCGTGCTCGACCTCAAGCTGGTGCGGGGCTGGCCGGGGGGTGGGTTGGGACGGGACTGGCTGGAGGGGCGTCGGCACTCGGGGCAATGTCGGGCAATGTTTTCGTGGTTAAAATGTCCTTTAAGTGGGTTGGTGTTGGTTAGAGTGTGATTGGGTAGGTGACACTATGAAGGCTGGAGTGCCTCTGCTCTGACAGGCTGAGGGAGCTGGGCTGGTTCAGCCTGGAGAAGAGAAGGCTCCTTAAGGGGAGACCTTAGAGCAGCTCCAGTGCCTAAAGGGGCTACAAGAAACCTGGAGAGGGGCTTTGGACAAGGGCCTGTAGGGACAGGGCAATGGGGAATGGCTTTAACCTGACAGAGGGGAGATTGAGATGAGATCTTAGGCAGAAGTTCTTCCCTGTGAGGGTGCTGAGGCCCTGGCACAGGGTGCCCAGAGAAGCTGTGGCTGCCCCATCCCTGGCAGTGTTCAAAGCCAGGTTGGATGGGACTTGGAGCAACCTGCTCTAGTGGAAGGCATCCCTGGGTCTGAACTGGATGAACTTTAAGGTCCTTTCTAACCCAAACCATTCTGTGATATGATCAGTTGTGTGGGTGTAGGGTTGCCAAAATCCTGGTCTGTTACTGCCAGGTGAGAGGGAACATCATTCCTGTGCTCTGTGTGTGCTGCTGCTGCTGCTGTTGGTCCTGGCTGTGCTGGTGCAGCACATATGCTCTCTTGCGGTGCTGGGTTGCTGGGTGGTAATGGAAACAGGCATATTGATGCGGTCTGGCATGTCCCGAAGCCTGAGGGGAGTAATATTGCATGAGCAAGGCAGAAAGTCACAGGGCTGCTCTGGAGCTCCTGCCTTGCAGCCATGCTTATGCCTCTCCTGGCATTCTGTCTTTCAAACAGAGAAATCTCCCTCTTGAAAGGTGTTGAAGTTCTATCAACTGCATCAGTTCCAATTTAGAAAAGACCTTTGAGTGTTGAGTTTGCTAAACCATTGTCAGTTACAGAAACAGCTCTGCATTCTTCTTCCCATCCCCATCTCTTCCATCCTGAAGGAGCACTGAATTTTCAGGCTGCCAAATTAGTATCTTCTAGCACTGCTTTGCTGCTGTGGAATGATAATTTGTGGATCCATCATGAGCTGAATGGCTGAGTTTGGTTTGTGTTTAGTGAGGAAATTGCAAGAAAAGGGACAGAGGGTCAGCAGCTTCTTTTCTCATGGTCATAATGACATTGGGAACATGGCTTTGTAATTTGAGGTGCTGGAACAACACAGGAACAAGATGGTGAGCAGAGTGCTTGGCCAGGAATTAACCTGACATGCAGGAAGGAGTGAAATATGACTGAGAGTTTGGAGTTAAGTGCCTAACCTTTTTGCAGGCTGCAGATACCTTGGCTGTGCGACAGAAACGACGGATCTACGATATCACAAATGTCCTGGAAGGCATTGGGTTGATCGAGAAGAAATCCAAGAACAGTATCCAGTGGAAGTGAGTGACAAGAGGTTTAAATTGTTCACAGGTTCCTTCTAGGCCAGGTCTGAGTGACACTGGGATTAAAATGTGCAGCTCAGACCAGGGTTCTTCAGTGGTCTGTATGTTCTGGTACTTCCCCAGCTGGGCTATGGTGATGGTAGTAATGAGGAAAGCTGAAATACTTATGTCTTTTTTTTTTTTACAATAGAGCTGTTATTTTGACAGGAGCTGTTTGAAGCACTTTGGGCTAGAAAAGATGCCTGTCATGGGACTGGAGATGGGCAAGAGTCCTGCCAGTCTGCAGGATGTAGGCAGATGTACCAAACATTGCAGTGCTGGGAGATGGGGATCTAGAGCAGGTACAGAGGAGGCTTTCTGGGTGATCTGGCCTTTGGCGTGTGACAGGGGTAGCAGTAAGGGAGGTGGCAGCCTCTGAGAAGTTGGGGCTGGTCTGGGTGCCTGCAGGGCCTGATGCATGTCACTCCTTTTTATCTTCCCCAGAGGGGTGGGTCCTGGTTGCAATACTCGTGAAATAGCTCACAAACTGATAGAGCTGAAGGCAGACATAGAGGACCTGGAGCAGCGGGAGCAGGAGCTGGAGCAGCAGAAGATGTGGGTGCAGCAGAGCATCAAAAATGTTACAGAAGACATGAAGAATAGTCAATATCCTTTGTGTGAACCCATTACGGTCTCTGCATTTGCTTATGGGGCTGGAAAGCAGAGACCTGAGGACTGGGTTTGTGTCACCCTGCTCATGGTAGAGGAGTGGTGGTGACCTGTTGCTGCTGGAGGATCTGCACTGAAAGGGTCAAAAGGCAGTGCCTGGCTTTGGAATTGGGGTATCTGTCCAGCCTGGGAACCAACTTTCTCTGGGGTGCATGGCTCCTTGCCTTTTTAAAGTAAAAACCACTGTAATGTTTACCATCGTGAGAAAAGTGCTTCTCTCTGAGTCACAGGTACCACTTCTTGGAGTGCAGAGCTGCTCCTGTGGCTTGCCTCTCTTAGGATGTCAGCTCTGACGAGCATATAGCTTGCAGACCTCACCTGCAGACCATTTCAGAGCGTGTCACAGGGAGCCTTCTGGGAATGGCATTTCTTGTGCTCAGGAAGGAAGCATCAGGTGCCCTTTGAGTTCTCCAACTGCACAGGAAGCTGCAGGCTTTCTCCTTAACATTGGAAACATTAGCATATGTGACACATGAAGATCTCTGCAGGTGCTTCACAGGTGAGGAAGTGACATTCCATCGCAAAGATGTAATGCTGCAGTCCTAGCAGTCTGTCCCAGCTGCTTCCTCCACAGAAGAGGAGGCAGGGAGCCACAGGCTGCCCAACAGCATCAGGTTAAATGTAGTGTGAGCTCTGATGCCATCCTGGGTTTATGTAGCACCGAGTTGTAGCTTTCTTGTCACCATCAGAGCAGGCAGGTGGTTTCTGTTACTGGAACATGGCTGCTATTCCTAACAAAGTCTTTTTGCTGAGTGTCACTATGTGGATGTGCACATGTTAAGTTAGAAGCCTGTCTTTTAGAACACTGTCCACCCAAGCCCTTAAGTTTTAGGGGCTTGGGTGGACAGTTTTCTAATAAAGCAAATTTTATTTCATGGTAGAGATCTGGGTGTAAGCAGGAAGACAGCATAAACCATGGTCCCCCAGCTGCATAGTGACCTCTACCAACAAGAATGCAAGAGGGAGGTAGTGAAGAGCAGGATGGAAGGGAATACACTGCTGTAACCTCACTCCCTTCTGTACTGCCTTCATAAAGCTGTGAGGTCTATGTATGTTCTCTGTGGGGCAGAAGTGAAGAAGACCCACAGGAGCACAGGAGTGTCTCTATTGCCAATTTTATTGACAGCTGTAGGACCAAAACTAACCAGATAATTCCCTGGTGGCTGGTGTGCAGCTCAGCAGCCTGCAGGACATCAATTGTTTTGCTGTAGTGGTGTGGAGTCACCTTTCTGCTTCAGTGGACACCTCGCCTTTTCTGACCACGAGCAGCCTGCATCTGCTTGAAGCAGAGATTGAAGCTGCTTACCCTGACCTCCCACATGTAATCTCACCCTTGTCTTTTCCAAGCAGTCTTCTCACCCTACACTTCATCAGCTTTTCTGTTTTTCTTCTTTGCCTTTGTGTGCTTTCCTTGTTCACCACCAGACTTTATACTGCTCAAGATCCTGCTGGTACTATATGCAAGCACCCTCTTTGCTTTCCTGTTTCTTCTGACTGAAGCTAGTGCTTCTGGGGGCAGGGATTTTGTTTTCAATTTGACAGTGCCTGGGGCCAGATAATTCTTCCAGATTGTTCTGAGTTTACTGGAGACCAGCAGACAGCTTGTTGCTTGGTTGATTGAGTGTCTTGCATCTTATTGCACCTGGTTTTTGTAAAGCAGCTTGTGTTTGAAGTTAGACCTCACCAAAACACACAGAGATTAGAAGGCAGATCTGAATTCCCTCCAGAAGAGAGGTTTGATTCATGTTTTTCCATTGTCTGTTCAGTTTTCTTGTAGGAATGTGCCTTACGTGACTTTTAATTTCTCTCCTGAGCATATGAGCGTTGCAGAGGTTCCTTGTCATACCACTTATGTTCTTGTACTTTGGTCAAGTTTGAATTTCAGCTCTTGTTTTTCTGATTAATTGGTATTGAACTGTCTCTCACAAAGTGAGTTAGGGGTTGAGAATTTCCATGCTTGGACTCTTGTCAATGAATTTGTTACTTGGATTAATTAAAAGGAAAATAATTAAGAATATATTAGTTTTTAGTGACATTGAAGTGTAATTTTCCCATCTGTTACTGCAGACTCAAAGAGGAAATGGAAACACACTGTACACTGTTGTGTAAAAGTATTTGAGATGTAGCTATCAGGGGAGGTACAAACACAGCACCTGTATTTGAAACTAACGGGTCTTAAAGCTTGAGCTTGTGTGCTTGAGCTTGTGTCTTTGAGCTTTAATATGCATCGATGTCTCTTAACAACATTTTTCTTAAGTACATATTTGTTAAAGGAATCCCATCTTACTGACAAGTCCTGTGTTATTTTGAATCCCTGTAATCTTAGAGGATCTGACCTTTGCCTGCCTGCCTGAAATTACAGGCTGTGCTCCTCTGCTCTCCATTCTCTCCCATTACTCCGAGGATCTTCCATATTACAAGTGAAGCTTAATGCAGACTACCAGTGAAGTGCAAATACTAACCACACTAAAGCTGAAACATTCGAAGTGAAAGCTGCTAACTGCTTAGTCTGAGTGTGTCTAGTGTTTACAGCACTGGTATTTCTCTGTTCATGTTTCTCTAAACCCAAATATAGACTGGAAGCTGCTCACCTGTGATTGTGTTATTAGGGAGACAGATCTTAAGGAGCTGCAGAACTTGAAAAGATGTCAGCTGGGATCCCAGCCCTGTATGTGCTGGGCTCTGCAAGGTCCAATACAACTAGCACCAGGCAGCTGTCTTGCCAGTATTGACTATGGAGTATTGGTTTTGGGTACTGGGTCTCCAAGTATGAGGTTGCTATGCTGTTGGCAGCCTGGCTACTCAGCCTAGTTCCACACCATCTCTCTGCTGGCAGTGCAGCTCTTGGAGTTGCGTGTTCTTTTGATTCTAATTCACATATAAAAGCTTGTGACAGTAGGGGGAAAGATCCTTCCTCCAATATTAAGGTCTTCTCAGAAGTGAATTTAAGCCAGCCTTTCTGAGGAAAAGAAAGGTTAGTCCTGTTAAGGATGCCACTAAAACACTAGTATTGCTTTAGGAGAAGTTTTGCATGTTCTCTGGGCCTTGAGCAGTTGGGCATGTTGGGAGCTGTTTGATATGCCTAGCAGGTCAGGTGGGTGTAAATGGCAGTCCTCTCGAGATGGGGAGCTTTGAGGAGGGGCTCTTTGTCAGTGCTTAATGATCATCAGTCTGTTTCTACAGGAGACACCCTCCTTGCAATTCGAGCCCCATCAGGCACACGTTTGGAGGTGCCCATCCCTGAGGTGAGCAAGAAATGCATGGGCAAAGTGCAGGAGTGTGCTTGTGTGTGTGTTGGGGCAGGGGTTGTTGCTGGATTGACCAGGCTGAGAGTCATAAGTCAGGGATGTTGATGGAGTCAGAGAAACTGACAACCCAAGGAAAGCTCCAGATACTAAATTAATTGCCAGGAAACTGTTATTTGGAAGTATCTGAGTATTTGCAGAAGCAGCGGGGGAGAGGATAGTCCTGAGAGTCAGGGGAGTTGTGTGTGGAACAGTGCCGAACTGCCTGGACAGCATGTCTTGGAATCACAGCATGGTTTGGGTTGGAAGAGACCTTAAAGCTCATCCAGTTCCAACCCCCTGCTAGACCAGGTTGCTCCAAGCCCCGTCCAAGCTGGCCTTGAACACTGCCAGGGATGGGGCAGCCACAGCTTCTCTGGGCAACCTGTGCCAAGCGTCTCAGCACCCTCACAGAGAAGAACTTCTTCCTTAGATCTCATCTCAATCTCCCTCTTTCAATTTAAAACCATTTCCCCTTGTCCTGTCACTACATGCCCTTGTAAAAAGTCCCTCTCAGATGTCTTGCCTGTGTGAAATTCCTGTTCTGTTTGGAAAGGGCATTTCATGTACGGTTTTGTTTTGCTTTTGACTTTTCTCAGGGCCTAAATGGGCAGAAGAAATACCAGATCCATCTGAAGAGCACAAATGGTCCCATTGATGTTCTCTTAGTAAACAAAGATACTTGGAGCTCTCCTCCTGTTGTACTGCCTGTCCCTCCACCTGAAGATCTCATTCAGTGCCAGGCAGTTGCAGCCTCAAAACCGCCGATCTCACCAGTTGCCCACTTCCAGGAGACATCCGTTCCCAGCACCAAGCCCTCTACACCAGCATCTACCAGCAGTCAGGAGCACAGCCCTCCTGCACAGAATCCCACAAGCACAGGTGAGAGGGAGGCTGCAAGAGGCAGAAACAGGATGGGGGCTGACAAGGAGAGTACATTCCTCAGCCTGGATGGGGCTGGCACTGCTGGTCATGCAGCTCTGTCAGCTCCTGGCAAAGGGGGCATCTCTGAATTTGCTGCAGTGAGCCTCTTCTGTTTTCATTAGTGGAACTGGCTGTGGTAATGGAAGAAAGACACTTGGCTTCAGGGGGTGGTGCCAAGCTGAAGGAGCAGTGGTGGAGAGAGACTGGTCATACAGACTGGCAGAAGTTTGTAAAAGGGTCTTTTTGAGTCTCAAGTTCAACTTTCAGTTTGAAAAAACACTTTGTCAAAAATCCTATGTTAGGTTGGTTGCAGCTTTGTCCAGCTAAATTTTGAAAGCTTCCAGCAGTGGAAATCCCCAGCTTCCTTTGTGAGCTCTTCCAGAGCTGCAGCACTCTCTCAGCAAATTCCTTTTTCTGGATACCTGGATGCTTTGGGCTGCATCTTGTGCCTGTTGTGCATGTTAATGTTATTCAGCACCACTGAGAAGTTCTTAATTTTTGTACCTACCTTTCAGGTAGCTGCAAGATTCTGTTACATTGCCCTTAGACTTCTCTTTGCGTGACTGAACAAGCCCAGCTCCCACCCCATCCTTGTAGGCCATGTGCCCTATACCCTGGCCAACTTGGTAGCCCTCAGCGGGATCTTCTCCACATCTTCCTTGCACTGGAGGATGGCCAAAGCTGGATCCCAAGTGCAGTGTCGGCACCGAGCAGGATAGTAACTTCCCTCAGTATGTTGGCCACACTTCTCCTGGTGTAGCTTACTGTTTGGCTTGTATTAACTGCTCTGAGAGCATGCTTTTGGCTTATCTGCAGCCTGACATCACCATGACTGCTCTCCAGCAGAACTGGAACAGGTTGGTTTTCCTGGGTGAAAGCAAGAAGACTTCTTCCTATGTAGCTTGGCCAGCATTGCAATGAGGATTGAATCTGCTGCAGCTTGCTTTGGAGCTGGTTGGAGATGACCTTCCTATGTGTGTCTGTGGCTCTTCTCAGAATGCAGTGTCTCAGCAGCAGAGTCCAAGATCAGCGATGACTTTGATCCCATTGGGAATGTGTCCGTGTCACCCAGCCAGCCGAATGGGTTGGACACCCAGCCACTCCAGTCCTCTGCCTCGCTGGACAGCAGCTCCATCCTACCCAGCCCCTCCACTGCCTTTGAGCCCATCAAGCCTGACCCCACAGAGAGTGAGTGTTCACCCTTGTTTCATGTGTTGTTCCAAAAGCATCAGGTTTGAAGTGAGGGAAGGGCTGCTGAGCCTGGAGGAAGGAGCTGAACTGCATTCTGCGTTTGCTGTCAGCCACAGTCTGCAAGGGATGAGTAGCCACTTCCCTGTGAGGTTGCAGGGGAACCTGGTGAGAATGGGATTGTATTGTGTCTACTGTCCAGCCACTTTTCTGTGATCATAGAATCCCAGCCTGGTTTGTGTTGGAAGGGACCTTAAAGCTCATCCAGCTCCAACCCCCTGCCATGGGGCAGCCACAGCTTCTCTGGGCAACCTGTGCCAGGGCCTCAGCACCCTCACAGGGAAGAACTTCTGCCTAAGATCTCATCTCAGTCTCCCCTCTGTCAGGGTAAAGCCATTCCCCCTTCTCCTGTCCCTACAGGCCCTTGTCCAAAGCCTCTCTCCAGGTTTCGTGTAGCCCCTTTAGACACTGGAAGCTGCTCTAAGATCTCTCCTGAGCCTTCTCCAGGCTGTCAGTACTAGAAAATATGAAAGGAACACTTGCATGAAACACATCTCTACTGTTATGTGTAGAATTATTCGTTTTCAGTCCCTTATGTGCACAATTTCCAATTTTTGTGATTGCGTGAAGCTATAGAACTTGCAGACATCACTGAGAACACCTTTGTAACACTTGGGGAATTTTCAGTAGTAGAGCTCTCATCTGTGTTTTTCTCGTTTACTTGGGAATACTTCCTCTGTCTTTAGTAATCTTGTGGGTTTAATGATCTTGCAATGTAGATTTGGGGAGCTTCTTGGTGTGCTTGGTGAGGTGAAATGGGCTTTAAAAAAGGAACATTAGAGCTTTATGCCAGGAAATGGCAGGCTGGCCCAAGGAGAGAAAAGCATTCTCTAGGTAAGACACACTGCTGTAATGTTTTGAAGCCTACCTTCACTGCAGAAATACTCTAGGTTAGAGGGTTATGGTTAGAAGAGGAAATCTTACCAGTGCTTCTTTCACACTTCTGCTGCTAGCATATCCAGGAAGCATGAACTGTCTTTATCTTGGAGTAAACTTAATTGTGAAATTAGGCCTTTGATGTGCATATAGTTTACCATATTCCAGCAGGCCTGTGCTGCCTCTCTAAAGGATCTCCTCATCCTACACAAGATAAATCAAGGGGGTGCACACAAGCTGACACCATGTGAGGCATACGTCCAGGCAATTACTCTGGATATGGTGACTGTGATAACATGTTCATGTCCTGGGGCTCCTATAGGTTTATTTTAAAGTGGTCAAGCTTTAAGTATTACACTGCTTATCATTGCAGCAGAAATATGTAACACTGGGTGTGGGAGCAGAGTTCTGGATGGCATAGGATGATTTGGGTGTGTAAGGAGTACAGTAGGATAGTAGGTGATTATGCCTTAAAGCTTCAGACTTCATGTAATAATGCAAACCATTTGGTTGATTGTATTTGCAGTCTTGGAACTTCCCAAAGAGCTGTTAGAGATGTTTGATCCAACAAGAGGTATGTTCACTCCCTGACCTCAGCTTTGTTCTGCACCCATCTACCTACAGAAGTGGGACAGTTTGTTTTATTCACTCCCTTTTGGATTATTTTGGATGTGTTTTTTTGTAGGGTGCCTCTGGCCTTTGGTGGCTGCTGGCTCTACTCTTAGTTAGACACTCTTAAAATTGCTGTTTTCTGTATGTATTTTTCTGTCTTTGTGTTGCCAGCAACCTTTGCTAGAGTTTGCCCAACAGCGTGCACATGAGGGCTTTCCTGTCACCATGCCAACACAGATCTGGGCTCTGGCTGCTCATGCTCCGTCTCCAACTCATCTGTACCATGTAAAATTAAAAATCCCTGTTAGTCCTGTTTCAGCTCTAGCCTGCCTAAGGCTAATCCAAGCAAATACTCTAGGGAGATAGCTGCCTCTCATCTAAACCCCCCTGGTTTTTGGTGATGGTGGTAGTTTTGGAGCAGTAGGGGAGGGGATACTGTACTTGTGTTAGGAGTTCTGCCCCTCCCCAAGGAATGTCTGGGTGTTGCTTCCTAATGGCGGGATGGACTTGTGGCTAAGGGTAGGAGAGGTGAAGAAATTTGGTCTGACATAAGCCTAAAGTGTGAAACTCTTTTTGTCTGCACATTTATTTCCTTTCAGTGCTGGTGGAATACTTTCTAGCTTTGCTGCTAGGCAGAGCCAAGCACACACCAGCACTTCAGTGGTGGTCCCAGGATATGTACAATAGACCCTAGTTCAGTGCTCTAGCATGTGCTTTGTGAAAGTGCTGCCTTTGTGTAAAAACTCCTCAGTCCCAAATTCAAGGCTGCAGCCTGTGTGTGAGGAGCCCTGGGTTCTCCAGTCACCTGGAGAACTCCCTTCCTCCTTGCCCAGCACCCAGAGTGGATGAACTCTTGGTAATGCCTGAGTACATCTGAAGAGTGAGTTTGACTTTGCAATGTGAGACATAAACTGCTGCAAGGCCGCAGATGATGTAGAAGATGTAGCTTAACTCCAGCTGACACTACTAAAAAGGTGTTTGCTGTCTGCGGTAATTTGTGGTGTTTTATGGAGTATTCCTCCCAGTTGGAGGAGGAAGATAGAGATCCAGGCATGAAGGACAAAACAGAGTCAGTAGCTGCAGAGGCAAAGCTCAGGACTGGAAAAAAAAGCCAAACTACAGAGGTCAGAGAAATGGGCCTTGCAGAAAGCTCCATGCAGCTTCTGTCCTCCCAGTAATCCTAGTAACATTGCCCAGGTACTGATGGCTGCTTTAAGGCAATTTAAGCTGCAAAAGCCTGGAGTTCTTCTTTAGTGTTTTGTATTGGAATTACTTTTTTAGCATGCTTTTCTCTGTCTTTTAAATGGGTGCTTAAAAACTGCTTGTTTTAAACTCATATCCTGGAAAAAATGTGAATTGCAACACACACAGGTACACACCCTCCTGTATTATCAGACCTAATCTAAAAAGGCTGGTTCTGCATTTAATTGTTATTTATTGAAGCTGGTTTTAGTCCTGTCTAGTCACTTGGTGTTGGAATTCTCTCATTGCATGGCACAGAATTAGACAAGTGGGTTCTTGTCTTCTAGTAAGTGGGCTCCTGTGGATTAGTGTCTTGAAAATGGGCTCATCTGAGTTTCTTTTTTGAAAGCTTATTTCAAGTGCAGGTGATAACAACTCAGTTAAATTGAACTGGAAGTTCTCTGGGCAACCTGTGCCAGGACCTCACCACACTCACAGGGAAGAACTTCCTAAGATCTCATCTTAGTCTCCCCTCTGTCAGGTTAAAGCCATTCCCCCTTGTCCTGTCCCTTTAGCCCTTGTCCAAACCCCTCTCCAGGCTTCTTGTAGCCTGTTTAGGCACTGGAGCTGCTCTAAGGTCTCCCCTTAAGGAGCCTTCTCTTCCCCAGGCTGAACTAGCCCAGCTCTCTCAGCCTGTCTCCAGAGCAGAGCTGCTCCAGCTCTCACAGCATCTCCGTGGCCTCCTCTGGACTTGCTCCAACAGCTCCACATTCCTCCCATGTTGGGCCCCCAGAGCTTGGTGATCCAGGAAGGCCATGCAGAGTTCAGCTGTGCAGTCTGTTTGGCAGCAGGCAGCCACTGAATCTGCCAGGGCATATGGCTGGATTAGGCCATGGGCCAAGGGGAGCAAATCAGGGGGCCAAAGAACAAAAATGTGGAGGAGGAAACAGGAGGCTTATTAGTTTTCCTGCCCTTGGACCATTTCATTTGGGTGTTTGTTTTCTTTTTTCTCATGCTTAACAAAGTTGGTGGGTAATTGAGGACTGTGAATATGGGCTCTATCAGCTCCATTTCAGATGCCTGTTGAAAAGTTGCCTATGGGAGAGTTTGAGGCACCAGCTAGCTTGCCAGTGCAGAGGTAGGGCACAGTCTGTCACCTGAAGGACACTGGTGTATGGTTGAGCTAAAACAGGCAGAAACCTCCTGCAGATTTTTTTTATGTAGCTTGAACTGTCTGTCACCAATTTACCTTTGCCCATGGCCTTTACTACTGGCTGCTGCACACTCTGTGCCTTAGGGAAGGGACAACAAGGGTGAGGAGCACCCTGGGAAGGGTGGGGAGAACTATACAGCAGCACAGTGTGACAGCAGAGTGTGTGGCTTAACCATGCTTGTTTCTTCCCTAGAATGTATGAATTCTGACCTGCTGGAAGAGCTGATGTCATCTGAAGGTGAGTCTTTGAGCCTTGCCTTCATGGGGTGACCTCTCCAGGAGAGGAAGACCATGCTGTGGGACTTCAGCCTTGTGGCTGCAGACTTACGCTCATCTTTTCTGGGCTCTGGACACAGCCTCTGTTCTCACTGTCCTGCCAGTCCCTGAGAGAAGTGTAAGAACCAGGAAAGTCTGTCTCTTCCATATCACAAGGCTGATTTGAAGCAACCTCAGCAACTTACTGTGAGGTGGCCTCATGGCTCCACAGCTCCATGCCCACTGGCAGCTCTTGGCTAGGTGTGGGAGTGCTGGGCTTTGTAACCAACTGTGAGCTTCTCTTTCCCCAGTGTTTGCTCCCTTGCTCCGCCTCTCCCCTCCACCTGGAGATCATGACTACATCTACAACCTGGATGAGAGCGAAGGCGTCTGTGACCTCTTTGATGTGCCTGTCCTCAACCTCTGACTCGTCAGTGCAGCTGTGAGCCTCACAGAGCCTTTTGTAACTCTTTTGGAAAGTGTCTATTTTTGGATTCCTTTTGTGCTAGAGCTCGATAAGTGAGTGATTCAGAGATGCTCTCTTAATGGACTCAGAACCAAGAGATGTGGACTTGCAGGCTGGGAGCTTCCCTGTAGCTTCTTCCTCTGTTGCATGTGCAAAGTGCATGTGCAACTGGCCCTGCACATCTCCCTCTCCATTGGATTCTGGACCTCCCTTCAAGGGGTCTGTGTTTTGAGTGTTCCTAGTTCATCTTAGAGTTTGCCCATGTGCCTCTCTGAGCCTCCTCAGATCTGCATGCCTTGTTTTTTTCCTGCACTCCCAGAGGCACTTTGCACCTCCTGGGTGCCACAAGGAGCCCTAATAGTGTGGTCAGTTAACAAACCCGGAGGTAGTTAGCTACATTTTCCAATGTGAGCAGGTCAGATTGGGGTGGCTGCATTTCTGAATGACAAGGGGAAAAAAAATGGCACCAAAGTGTCCATTTCTTTCAGTGACTCCAGACCAACTAGTACGTTTTACAAGAAAAAGCACTTTTTTTAGCCAGCTGTGCCTCCTAGTGGGACTCAGGAGTTGAGCACTCCTGGGAGGACCCAGGAGCTGAGTCTTTCCCTGCTTTTGCATCAGCAAGAATGCTGCTTCTGCGTTCCCCAATCTGCTGAGGCATCAGCCTAGGGTTCCAGCTCCTTGTACACAGCTGTGCTGTTTCTACAGGTCTAAAGAAGACGTGTCAGTATGGTTCATTTTAGATTTGGTTTTGCCTGACTGAAGAGATGTTGGAAAGGATAAGACTGCTCCAGCTGGTGCATGTAAGTTACTCCAGGTACATCAGAGCCTGCTCATATTTGCAAATAGTTATCTTCTCCAGCCATTGCACTTGAGCCTTCAACTGTCTAAAAGGCGACCAAGCAGTAACCGTTCAGTAGTACTTTGCTGTGACAAGTTATATAGATGTTGTCATAATAGTGCTTTCCCCTCCCCAGTTTTTCTCTCTCAGAATCTGTTCAGGATCAGGCTTTCTTGAAATTTGATTTCCTCCTTTACTGTTCATACCCACACTTCCAGTTCCTCATCCTGTGGCAGGACCTTTACCTAGCATGATGCTTTCTCTGCATCATTTTTCCTCAAGATGTTCTTCCTTGTTTGTAATGGAAGGTCTGCACTTGGGTTTGTTGTGGTGATTGGGTGGTACTAGTCTTGGACCATGGGCAGTTTAGGTGGAGTAAAATGCCCTGATGGATTTGAGCTGTATTTTGAAAGCTCCAGTTTCTGGGTTTCGTTCAGGTTCTGCGTTTGAGTGTATTCAGTTTTGCACATCTTCCTGCCAACACAGTGGTAGCAGCTTTCCTGCCTTTCCTCATCCACAAACTGTGAAGAGAGTTCCAGGCCAGGAGCATGGGCCTTGCAGAGAGGGTGCTTGCAGCTGACCCTGTAACCTGCTGGTGTTTAACTTCTGTTAACCAGAACCACAGCCAGCTGGAGCACCACCATTAAGGGATGTCAAGTCTTCACTTCTTGGAGCCCACAGGGGTGACAAGAATGTGTGTCTGGGACCTGCATCCCTAAGGTGGCTCCTTGGGCCACCCATGTGGGTCTCCTCCAGAAGAGCTGGGAACAGGATGGGTTCCAGGATCATCTCTGCAGCCCCATCCTCTTTGAGAATGCCATGAAGAATCCAGGAGGAACAAGGGGATGCTCCAGTTTGAAGCAGGCAGCAGCTGCCAGCGAGGCAGCTGTGGTGTGGGACCCAGGCAGTAAAATTCCAGCATGTAGCCAGTCCTTGAACCTTCCGTCCTTGGCATGGAAGCCGGTCGGGATGCCCTAGACCTGTGCGCATTAGCTAGCTCAGTGGCTTTGCTGTAGCTCGAGCTCTTGGCTTGGCCCTTGCCCTCCTTTCCAAGCATTTGTGTTAAGACGACCCTTGGGAAAAGGATACCTAGGGAAAAAAATGTACTGAACTTTTCATATATAAAGATTATTTTTATACTTTTTTTTCTTTTTGCAAGAAAGTTGCCTGTAATATTTGTACAGTGTTCTTCTCTGAGGTGAATAAACAAAAACACTTTCCAGAGACTCCTGTGCTGGCCTTTCTCTCTGCTCTCTCAAGGCGGTGCCGGCCCTTCCGTGGGGCCGGGCACTCTCCTGGGAGGTGGGTCCCACCGGGCCCGCGTCAGCTCAGGTGAGAGGGATGGGCCTGCTCGGAACGGGGGTGGGAACCGGGCACAGAACAGGGCTGGGAAGTGGCGGCAGCAGGGCCTCAGGGCCCAACGGGAGGCGGCGGCGGCTGCAGTGACCCGGAACTGCGGTGCAGCGAGAGCAGGGAGCAGGCAGGAGCCATGCCGCCGCCCAAGGACGTGGTAAAGATAGCCATCCAAATGGTGGGAGCCATCCCGCAGCTCATCGAGCTCCACCAGGTACCACTCGGCACCCCCGGATCCCTCCCCCTGCCCCCAGCGCCAGCTCACAGCAACCCTGTCGCTTGCAGACCAAGCCCCTCGCCTCGGTGCTCAAGGACGTCTGCGATGCGTGAGTATCGCACCCGCCGCTTATCACCGCGGCGACCGCCGGCGTGGTGGGCACCGGCCCTGTCTGCACGGCGCGGTGACCAGGTCCCCGTTGGCACAGGTGGAGCCTGCCCAACGCCGAGCACTACGCGCTGCAGTACGTGGACGGGCGGCAGACCTACATCACCGAGTCGGTGAGACACCCTCCGCCTGCCCCAGCGCCGCAGCCGTGGTGTTCCCTGCCTCACCGCTGCCTTTCTCCTCACAGAACCGCGGGGACATCAAAAACGGGAGCATTTTACGGCTGACCACCTCGCCGGTACATCCCTCTGCTCCCCCATAGGCCCCCCTTCTCTGCTGTGTGCTCTGGTGGGATGTCCCCGCTGTGACTTCTGGCTCCTCATGGTGCCCCAGACCCAGCAGAAGTAACATGGGAAGAAGACCTGTCTCAACCTTCATTCTCCCTCAGCAGAGCTTGGGGGAGTTTGAAGGGAAACTGAATCATTTTGAGATGCTTTGGACATGTGGGCCAGCTCATCAAGTGTTCCTAGCATAGCTCCTTCCTCAGCTCTTCCTCAGCTCCTCTGGTGGCTCTCTCTCAGTCCAGATTCTCACCAGGGCTGCTGTACCCTAAGCCTCTTTCTAAAACTTGTGCTTAAGCTCTTCCAGACTTCTCCAAGCTCCTTGCTGTCTTGATTCTGTCCTTCCTGGTAGGACCAAGAAGCAGAGCGTTTGTACAGTGGGATCCAGAGCAACAACTCAGACGTAAAGACTGACTCACTGAGGAAGCTTGCAAGCCTCTCCCAGGACGTGACCTTTGCTCAGGAGTTCATCAACAGGAATGGCTTGAAACAAATCTTCTATATAGTGGAAGAAGGGAATGAGTGAGTATCGGGAGAGGACTTCCCTTGCTGTTCTTGACTTTTTTTCCTCCCTCGGTAATGCTGTGTGAGTGTTAAGCTGGGTGTTGGCCTGGACTCTGTTCATGTTCCTGGCCTGTTGCTGGTGCTGTGGCATAAAAGGCAGTGGTTGTTGCAGGGCACTTGGCTCTGCATGCTCCTTGCCTGCAGGTATGTGACTGTGTCCCCTCACACTGGCAGCTGGTGGAACATCCCCATGAGTCTGTGGTCCTCACTCCTTGTGAATGTGACCAAATTTGAACCTCCCATCCCTTCAGTGGCTGGGTCATCTGCATCCTCATGGGTTGTTCTGTCATCTCTTGTGATGATCCTAGCTTCCACTGCTGTTATTGCTGCCATACCAAATAATTCGTCTGCCCTGGGGCTCTATCTGAGCTGTGAGAGATCTGCAGGCAGCTAGAGAAACACCTGGCTGACAAATACTGGTGTCTGCTTGACTCTTCCAGGAAGTGATAATGCATCTCCTCTGAGCTCCTGCCTCACAGAGGATGTGGCCTCTAAACCCAGGCAGCGCAGCATGTGTTGTGGAAGCAGGGAGAGGGATTTGGGTGGTGTGGTTTGGTTTTACCGAGGGCTTGTCTGTGGTATGGTGGTAACACAGCTTTCCAGAAACTGTTGAACTTCCCCTGGGTCAACTTCATGACATGGTTAAGTGAGAGCTCCATTTCTTACCCAACAGTGGCTCTTTCCTTTTTTCTCCTGCTCGCTGCTTCTCCAGGTGTTTCTAACTACCCACCAGTGCGCAACTGCACTCCCATGGTGGTCACTGTGGAGTGTCTGGAACCGTCCTCACTGCATTTGCTCATCTGTCTCTCCAGTACAGGGGAGATGCTGGCTCACACCCTGAAGGCCTTCATGGAGCTGATGGAACATGATTTTGTTTCCTGGGAGACTCTTAGTGCAGCCTTCATTAAGAAGGTAAGTGTCTTCTGCAGTCTCCACAGCCAGTGCCCTTGGGATTCCTTGTTGCCCTCGTCATCCAGGCTCAGCCTGCTGTTGACGAATGGTTTTGTGTCTCATAGATAGTGAGTTACGTCAATATGAGTGTGGTGGATGCATCCATCCAGCAGCTCTCCTTGTCTGTCTTGGAGAACATGGTGCCTACCAGTCGCCTCCTCTTTGAGCTAGTCAAAAAAGAAGTGACGTTGGATTGTCTTCTCGCCCACCTGCAGGTGTAAGTGGAGAGGCCGCAGCATCATTTGTCCGCATCACAAAGCTGGTAGGGATGAGCTGAAGGGGATTTCTCCAGGTCTCACTGATTATCTCTGGCACAGCATTGTACTGTCCCTTCCTCAAACAACTTGTGGGGAAGGGATGTACTGTCCTAAAACCATCCTTTATACAGGGTAGATTCCTTCATTCATGGCCTGTTCCATTCAGATATTTCAGTTCTTTAGCTGACCTGCTGTTGTACTGGCGCTGGCTCTTCCTTCCGTTTTCTTGGTGTATTTAGGAGCAGGAGTGAACACCCTGTAACTCGGGTGGTGGTGCGGTACTGTTCGTTAAATCCCTTGGCTAAGGCGAGTCCTTTGTTCCCTCACCCTGCTCGCATCTCTGCATCTCTTCAGTCTGGAGTTGTTTGGTTTGCTGCTAGAAAATGGAGAGGCTCGTGCCGAGGTCTCCAGCCAAGCAGGAGTCTGCTGCTCACCCTGGGTTTTCCTGCTGCTCCAAAATGCTGCACCCATGGGTGTGAGCAGAGCAGTATCTGCCCCGTCCATGGGTGCTCTGCACTGTCAGCTGTGGGCACCATCTCACCCTTGGCCCTATTGTCAGCAGCTGTTCACTCATGGCTCTGGCCTCTCTGGGTCTCCCAGCTCCATGCAGTGGGGTCTGGCAGTGAGGTGGGGACAGGTCTCTGCTTTGGGGAGGGAAAGACCATGCTCAGAGCTGGTGACTCTCCTCCTCCTCCTCCTGCAGGACAAACGTCCAGTTACAGCTGAAGGCGATGGCCCTGCTCATTGCGCTACTTCTGGCTGCGACTAATGCTGAGCGGCAGGTAAGGGATGAGGCAGGAGACAGGACCAGATGGTGACAGGGTTGGTGACAGTGCCCCATGATGGACTCTTAGGCAGCTGGGTCCTCTGCAGCAGTGTTTGTGCTTTCTGGGATGGTGAGAGGTTTAAAGTCAGCGTCCTCACTCTGCCTCTTCTCCTTGACCAACACAACCTGCCCTGGCAGCTGGGTGGGGCAGGATCTCTTTGAGCCCCATTGAGGTGGGCTAGTCCTGGCTGCCAGGGCAGTGGGAGGTGGGGGCAGGTCTGCTCACCGGTGTCACTCCAGACTGCTGGTTCCTTTCCGTCATCACCATGGCTGTGGCCCAAAGCCAGGCATAGCAGGGAAGCGAGGCTGCAGAGGGAACAGTGGCTTTTCTGGGGGGAAATGATGGTGTGCTGAGCTGGGGAGCATCTCACAGCCTCATCCCTTCATAGGACATGATGGAGTACCTGAGGGGGAAGAACATCAGGCAGTTTATCCACAAGGTGAGGAGCTGGGGTTGTGTAAGGGTCTGCTCTGTGCTTCATCCTCTATCCTTCCTCCCCAGCCTTTGGTGACAGTGCCTGGTTGGGTTGCTTATGTGCCTCACACCCCTTCCTTGATGCCTTCCTTGATGGGTGCTACTGCATTTGCACCCATGTGCCCAGAGTTGCACACCTTGGCAGAACCTGCCAGGCTTTGGCTGTTGGGCCCTGTGGTTGGAGGAACTGGGAGAAGCAGCCTGGGGGACCCTTCTCACTTACGGTCTCCTGTAGAACATCATCCACAGCTCTGAGCCGCTGGGGGACGAGATGGCCCATTACCTGTATGTGCTGCAGTCTGTCAGCCTCAACCTGTGTGAGCGGCGTATGAGGACCTCCATGGATCCCTACTCCCAGGTCTGGGAGCATTCTCCTTTTGAGTGTGGCCCTGCACTCCTCCACCTGTGGAAGTAGAGGCGGGTGAAGGTTCGCCTTTGGGTGAACCCAGCACATGTGATTTCATTGTCAGTTTGTCCTGAGAGAACCTGTTTCCATGAGGCTCCCCTGCATTCCCTCCACTTCGCTCTCCCACCAGGAACAGCGGGACCTTCTCCAGTTGCTGCGTCAAACTGCCTTTGAGTCAGAGAGCGAGGTGCCTGCCAGCAGCTTCAGCACTGAGCGTCGACGATCCCTGTGTGCCAAGGAGTTCCGCAAACTGGGTTTCATGGTGTGTTCCCCTGCATCCCTTCCCCAGCCTTGTGCTCTGGAGCACCTTCTGATGGCTCCCCTAAGCCTCATGTCCCTGCTGATCTGATAGGCCCCCATGCAGCACCTCCCTCAGCTCCTGTGATACTCCTAAACAGCAAGTTTAGCTGCCAGGACTCAAAGGCAAACTCCGTGGCTGCACTAGGAGGACTCTGCTGCTCTAACAAAGCAGCTGCTAAATTGCATCCTTCTGTGTCCTCCTAGAACAACAGCAACCCAGCAGAGGACCTCCGCCGTGCCCCACCAGGTCTCCTTGCCCTTGACAACATGGTGTATTTCTCCAAGCACACCCCTAATGCCTATAGCAGGGTGCGTACTCTCTCCTAAAGAACTCTGATGTAGACGTGCTGGTGCATCTCCTCCTTTTCCTTTCCCTGTGACCTGTCCCTGGCCAAAGCCAGGCAAGGATGTCCCTTTTGGGCAAGTGT